TCAAATCAAGGGGGCTTTCCAGTCTCAAAGAGCTTGCAAAAAACACACAGAGAGGGAGCCTGCCTAATCCATAGGGACGTTCTTCCACAATGTTGCACCACAATGAAAAGGCAGCACCTTCTTGCTTTAGTTCCCCAAACGTGAGATTTGTAGTAATTTCTTCCTGCCTAATTTTTTTATATGCCATTGTGAATTCCACATAGGGCTTCTGCACTTACACAGCTGCCTATTTGAAATGTTCCACAGCAAAGATTCTGGAAAGGAGTCTCACCTGCCATGCAGCATTCCAACCTAGCAACTGAAATGACTGCAATTTCTGTCCTGGTGCTGAAGTATGTCCAGTCCAAACAGGGAAGATTCCTGAATTGGGTAGTCAGAGATGACTATTCAAAAAACCAGTTGGGGGGAGGGGTGCCTTTTATGCACTGTGGTGTTTCTTACTCATGCATATAGGAAATTAACAGGCAATGTTGCTTAATGGTGGAAAGTACTAGGAGAGAACCAAGGACTCCTTTGCAAGTGAATATCAATGAATATCAATCATAATGAGAGAGCATGTCACCAGCAAAGTCAGGTCTGGAAAATCTACAGGTAACAAAAACTCTTGCTGCAGAAGAAACTCTCTGCAATATGTGCAATCTTGGAGCAGAATGAAATACTCATTTATAAAACCATCCTATCCTTGTGAAACATCAAATATCTGAATGAAAACATCCAAATGAAAGGAAATGTTTTTCAAGTCAGTAGAGAGGAGAAAGAACTATAGGACTCAAGGGCTTAGATATTAATAACTAGTGACAAACTCCATGTTGAAGTAGCTAATTACTTGGGAAGAAAGAAATTTCCTTTCAAAACCTACTTAAAAATAGGGTTGGAGAAATACAATGGACTAACATCTCATATTAGTCCATTGTATTTCTCCAGCACTATGTTTTACTTATTATCAGCAATATTAATATTAATATATTAATATTAATGTGTGTGTGGAGGGGGGGGGAAACAGGAGAAAGATCCAATCTGGTGGACAAGTGGAAAAAGAAAACAAGACAAATATGGCAATTGCAAAATGAGAAAATAAATGTAGTGAAGCACCCAGTCTCATTCTGCCAAAAAATGTGGCTTAAAAAACACCTGACAAAATATTGTTCCAACTTTTCAGGTGGGTTGATATGAGGAACACTTGCAAGATATACAACAATTCCAAAAGTCAATATGGCATAGAACTATATACAAATCTCTGTTCCAGGATAGTACCTGGAATTAGAGTTAAATAACCCTTTTTTAAAAATGGCAGATATCGTTCACACTTTTGCATAATGTTTATTGACTGACAGATTCTGCCATGAATTTAGAAGCATAATGTTTATTGACTGACAGATTCTGCCATGAATTTAGAAGCACTGACACCCGCATGCTTGACTGTATTAATTTGCTGCTTAGCAATATGAATGGCCTCATTACAAAACACATTGATGACCTCTTACTTGTCATCTGTCAGATTGCTGAAATGGGGCAAAGCTTTCACCCATAAGAAATTGCTGATATTAGTCAGACAGGGCTGGTAATTGGCTACCCTAGTCCAAGTCTCCAGGAGAATTAAGCTTATGCCGCATTGTGTTGCATTTACAAACTGGGAGGCAGGGATGGATGTCGAAACAAGAAGGAACAACATTTGTCTTGGACTCTATATAAATTATCAAAATGCTATAATGTTGTATAAAAATGGTTTCATTCAAGAGTCCCCAACCCTCTGGAAATAGAGCTGGAAGTGCAAATTCCTGAACAGGTACAGGCATAAAACAGGATAACACAGTAAAAGACAGGTTGGTTTATTTCTAATATGAGGGAACATGCTGTAGGTAAGACTGCCTTGTTATAGGTTTAATTTTTTTTCTGAAAGAGAAAACCTCTCAACTCGGATCAGCAAATGAGGGTGTTGATTATTCTGATGAAGAATCAGAGTTATAGGAATCTCCATCTAAAAAGTGATCTAAATGCTGCATGGGAACCATGCCCAGATCTGAAGTTTGTACTGGGCTATAAATAGTTGCCGCTGCAGTGGAAATATATCAGGATACACCTGGACAGAACATCAGATTTGATCTCTAAAATGTGGAGCACATAAGATTCTGTAAAAGCAGACCGTTGTTTTAAAGTATGGAAGACTGCTGCTATGATCACAATCTCCACATGCTCATCAAAGAATGGAAGAGCAAAGGTACAAGTAGGATTAGTTTGGGATTGAGCTTGGTCCCATCATCTTTGCTTTTGAGACAGAGACCACTGAGTACCCCTCTGGGAACAGACCTCAAGTTACAGTTAAGAAGTTAGCAAGAGAAGCAGAAGCAACAATATCAAGATTGGCAGAACAAATGAATCTTTGATATAAAGGAAACACTCAAGGGAGACGTCAATAGACATCAATATTGTATTGGTTCCTCCCCACCCCCCCCTAGAATCTGACCATTGGATATTGCAGGGCTTGCAATGGAAGCAGAAATCTTTCAGACACACAAGATGGAAGATGCAATATCAGGTGATCTGCCAGGTTCAACAGAATGAAAGACTGAGAGGAAAGCACTGACAAATTTGGCTGTTTCTTGAATGCTGAAAATAATGCAGCATTAGCTTTAGAGTTATGAGAAGTTTCAGCAGGACCCAGTGTTATCACTGAACAGTCCTGGTGAAAGACATATTATAGAAAGTTTTTTAAAGAAAAACTTGACAATGAAGATATGATTTCACTACATGTCCTTCCCATGACAAAAGAATATAAAGAATGTCCATTTGAAGAATGCAGCTGGTTGTTACCGTTTTGACTGATAGACAAAGGACTTTTAATGCCATAAGCACTCTCAAAGAAAACATAAGCAAAACATGCTTCAACTCATTCTGATTCTCCTCCCCCTCCTTTCTTCCTTGGATAGTTATGTAAAAACGTATATGACAGGGTAGCTCTAGTATATAAAGTTATTTATAATGTATATGTTTTTTTATAGGAAACAAATGTAGAAACCAGTTGTTATATAAAATTCAGCTGAATTTTAGGAGAAGAGACTGCCCTTAGAAGGATGGATGCTAGGACAGGACTGAGCTTGCCGTCTAGATAAATGATTAAATATGTAAATGTGCTCATATTGATAGACACAAAAAGCAATATTCAAAAAGCAGATGATTTAGTGCTCAGTGCTAACCTCAACACAGCATGTAGTTATTATCTAAGCAGATACATTATTGGATAAGGGTTTGTTGAAAAGATGTCAGCATTCCTCCTGCACTATTTTGTCCCTTTGAATTACATCTTCATACGTACCCCACATTTGATTTGAATATAACTAGGCCAAACCTGTTTCCTGAGACACAAGTAAGTTCACTGTAAATTGAATTTTTTATGATAATGTTCTTACTAATTCTAGTCCAAAAGTGAAAAAACCAACCCCCTCTAGCTGTTGCTCAATTACAGTTTCCAGCAACCATTGATTATGGTGAGAAATGCTCTCCCCACCTCACAGCCCTGCAGCTGTAGATCTTCTGTGAGAGAAAATTCTTTGTTCCCTACAGTGTTTTTAACACTGTAGGTAAGAGATAGGGAAATTTTGCATTCTGGTTGTCATGGTAGTAATACATTCCCTTGATGCCCAATTCAAGTTAAAATCTAGCCAATAAACTCAATAACTTGAATGTACTAATTAGAAAATTTTCAATTTTGCTAACAAAAATAAATAAATACTGTTTCCCTGTAAATAAGACCGTCTTATTTTTATTTATTTATTTTTGCCACCAAAAAAGGCACCAGGACTTGTTTTCGGGGGATGTCATCCACTGACTAACCTTACTTGTGTGTGTTGCCCCTGGCCTCGTTTTCACCATCAGAGGCTTTCTGCGGCCAGCAAGGCTTTCCTGAAGATCTCTGCAACCGATAACAGATCAATCTGGAGCTCTGTTATCAGCTATACAGAGGTCTTTAGGAAAGCCTTGCTGGCTGCAGAAGAAATGGGCCGCAAGGCAGGTGTAAGGGTGTGAGAGGCCTGGCAACAACTGTCCAAAGATAAGTAGGACTGCTTCACCCCCCATCCCCACCCTAGCTTAATTTTTACCCATGCACTCTAAAGTGGGTGGGATCTTAATTAGGGCTTATTTTGGGGGTAGGGCTTATAGCAATAGCACTTAGACTTATATACTGCTTTATAGTGCTTTACAGCTCTCTCTGAGCAGTTTACAGAGTCAGCATTTTGCTCCCAACAATTTGGCTCCTCATTTTACCCATCTCAGAAGGATGAAAGGCTGAGTCAACCTTGAGCCTGGTGAGATTCGATCTGTCAAATTGCAGGCAGCTGGATGTCAGCAGAAGTAGTTTGCAGTACTGCACTCTAACCACTGCGCCACTGAGGCTTATATTGGGTTCATGAGTAAAAATCAAGCTAGGACTTACTTTCAGGGTAGATCGTATTTTCAGGGAAATAGGGTATCACCCTTGATTTGATATGCTACATTGTAACCAACCATAAACACATTTTCTTTTCTCAGTTTCTGGTATAGCTTTAACATCGATGATATCTGAGCTCCAGGGGCAAAATGACTTTGCCAAGCATAGACACTAGGTTCCTGTTCAGTCCTTTTTGTTTTGTTTTGTTAACATGAGCTGCTAGTTGCCAAATGTCAGAAAACGTGTGTGTTCCAGACTCTGCAGGCTTGCTTACAGGATATTGTAAAGAGACAAAAATGTAAAAACAGAGGAAAACCAGAAAAAATCCTTGACCCACAGATTTCAGCAAAGGCTAATTTACCCCTATCAGAGCTGTCATGATACCAAAACAAAATGAAGAGATAGAACATCTCAAAAGAAAAGGGAAGGTGAGTATTTAGAGCATTATTGAGAGCAATTTGGTGTAGTAGTTAAAGTGCTACTGGTGGTGAGTTCCAGTCCCACCTTAGGCATGAAAGCCAGCTAAGTGACTTTGGGCCAACTCATCTCATAGGATTGTTGTTGTGAGGAAATAGGAGGAGGAGGGAATATTATGTTCATTGCCTTGAGTTATTTATGAAATAAAGGCAGGATAAAAGAAATCTAATAAATAATGGATTATCTTTCTTTGGTATCTTAAAATGATTCCATTCCTACTAACTCTTTAGCTTCATGGCCATGCCAACTGGGGATGTTATGAAATTGTAATTCAATCACAGAGGGCATCAGTTTGGAAGAACTACTATAATGGGTGCAAGTCATTCCAAGGAAGAGGAAAGAGGAGAAAAGAATCCAGATATAAGCCTAAATATGGGGAATACTAAGAAGGATTGATATTCTACACAGTGTATTATTCCTATTAGGAATATCTCCATCCTTATAGAATAAATTAAAATAAATACATAAATAAATACATTTCCCATCAGAATAAATACCTGTTTAATATCTACTATATGAAGCCACTGGGTGACATCATTCACCCCCATGGGATGAGATATCAACAGTATGCTGATGATATCCAGTTGTATCTCTCCTCCTGATGAGTTAACTGATGCTGTGGATGTTTTTTTTTTTTTTCAGTGCTGAAAGGCTGTGGGGGTCTGGATGAGATGGATGGCATAAAAATTTAATAAATAAGTAAAATTGATTAAAAATATCAAGCTTCAACTAAACATGGAAAGACTGCGAGTCTTTGGGCTTTAGGGCCTTCTGAATCTGGGGCTTTAGCATCTGGGGCTGGATTGGGTCATCCTGCCCCAAACAGACCCAATGCACAATCTGGGTGGGGTGGGAGTTCTTGTGGAATCATGATCCCTGCTTGAAGAGCAAGTGGCAGTTGTAGCCATAAGGACCTTTTGCATATTGTGTATTAGTTGTGCCCATTCTATTCTGTCGCTCATGTCTAGTCACTTCCTGGATGGATTTCTTCATGTGCTGTGTACATTGGACTGCCCATGAAGAGTATCCAGAAGCTTCAGCTAATCCAAAATGCAGCAGCATGTATGCTCCAAAAGCTGCACACATTGCAAACTGCATTGGTTACCAGTATGCTTCCAGGTCCACTTCAAGCTTATGATTTTTAAAGTCCTACATGGTACAGGGCCAGGTTATTTGAGGGACCACCACTCCCCAGCTACATCCAATCCTATCAAATTCAGAAGGAGAAGCACGCTCTAGGTCCCAACAGCTAGAGTTTCATCAGGTGGAAAGGAAGCCTTTTCTGCTCTAGCCCCACTCCGCAGAACATCACTCCTCCTGAGGTAAGAAGGCCCAAGTCTGTTGGCCTTTCGGTTTTACTAGTGAACTTGGGGATCCTGGGATAAAGCAGAGCCCATTAGATTAGATGGCGAACTGATACTCTCTCTATATGCTTTGCCACCATTTTGTTGTTTTTGTTTTTCTTTTAATTTAATTTGTGGTGTGTATTCTGTTTATTATATATACTGGCCAGAATCATAGTGGCTGGATGGCTATACAGAAGTGATAGGTAATAGATGATACTAGGCAGGTAGGTAGGTAGGTAGATGATGATAATAGACAGACACAGACAGATACACACACAGAGAGAAAGAGAGACACAGGCAGACAGACAGACATTTCACATTGTTAGGCCATGTTTGACAGGGAAGCAGCAAGAAGGAGCAAATCAGAAATATTTCCTAAAATTGCTTTAATAAATTACTTTTATATAGTCATGGGATTTATTTATATTTTTAAAAGTTAGGTAAACCATATAGATTTCTTTACTCTGGGAAGCTAACAGTAGTGATAAAACACAAACAAGGAAAAGGAAAGGAAAGGTTGCTACCATTGAAAGCAGTGCATTCGGAAAGTGGTGGTTGCTTTCAGGCAAAACTAAGTTTGATGGTTGCAGGATCTCTTGTGGAAATGGAATGGAACATTTTCTATTTATCTTGTTTCTTTGCACATCTATTTTTCTAAGACTGTAGCAGGTTGTTGCAAAGTTTACTAGCTCATACTACAAAATTAGTAAGCTTGAAATAGAGAAGCCACCTTCAAAATCAAGTTGCATAAACAATATTGTTTATAATTTATGAATGCTTTCAATTGGAGGAGTGCTTGTGACATTGACACCTCAAGAAGTTTTGCAAGGGACATCCACCATTAATTCCATCCTACATAATACAGGTGAGCCCAACATTTCCATTGACAATTGTTCAGTGAGTTTTGCCCCATTTTATGATCTTTCTTGCCACAGTTGTTAAATGAATCACTGCAGTTGTTAAACTATTAACATGATTGTTCAGTGACTCTGGCTTCCCCATTGACTTTGTCAGAAGGTCACAAAAGTTGATCACGTGACCATGGGGAAGCTGCAAGAGTTGTAAGTGTGAAAAGTGGTCATAAGTCACTTTTTTCATTGTAACTTCTAATGGACACTAAACAAATGATTGTAAGTTGAGGACTATCTCTATGTAAGTCCAACTTATACTCTGCACACCTATTGATTCCTGCAAAGGGACAGTAACTTGGATGTAGCGAGAGAGAGGAAAGGCACAACAGATGAATACATCCTATACTTAAAAAATAAAAAACAGAACCTCAGAATGGGAAAATATGATTATTGAACCAATTATACAGAAATTAATTTAAAAATCTATTTCAGTTTTCTTTTAAGATCCTTTCATTTCTAGATATGCCTTCAATTCATTTCAATTTTTAAAAAATCCTGGGTTCTCTTAATAAAATAACAGATGCAAAGTAATGATTTATTGCACAACTCTTATTTTCTACTGCAAGAGAATATTGCTTGAAACAGTTTACTATTTTAAAAAAAGAATTGTTCTTTATTGATACAAAAACAGAATTCATTTACTTTTTTTCCTATTGTCTTTTATATTTTTGTTCTAAGCCAAAAAAAAAAAAATACAATCATTGTCATAGACACGTGAATAAGAAAATAATTCAGCATCTGACACTCAAATGTAAAATAAATTTAAAGCAGTTTCTTTTGTCCTTTGAAAGCTTTTGAGGAGCACGCAAGCAGAATCTACAAAAGGAGATGACTGACTTCAATACATATGTCAATCTTCACCCAGCCTCAAGCTCTAATTTGCATGTTGTAAACAAGCAATTAAAAGTCAGACAGATTTTTTTCTATTATGCTACTTCAAATGTAGTGTCACTGGAGTTTGAGTGCACATTTAGTTGTTCAAGTCAAAAGATATATCTCTTTCCATTTTTCTATTTGGGATGACCGACAAATTAGTTTTTAAAAACAAATCTTATGACTTACAATAACAATATCCTCCATTGCTACCTAATCAGAATAGCACTTCAACAGTACTGGCAGAATGTCTGATTGCAATGGGAAATTCTCATGGCTTGAACTGCCATTAATGTAATGGTCACATCTCACAACTATTATGATACTCTTCACTATTTTGAATATTGATGATATGAGGAACAATGTAGGAATATACATCCTGAGGAAAAGCATTGTCAAGATGACCTTGGTTTGCTTTTCATCTGCGCTTGCACCTTGTGTTTTTCTTTCTGAGCCTTCTTAATAGTCCAATTAGTTGTACTTTCAGTAGTTTTTCACGGAGCTGTATTTTAAAACATTTTTCTCTCTCCTATTCCTGCCAAGCAGGCATGCAGAAAGCAATGAATAACAACATGAAGACAAATGAAAAAAAGTGTCCTGAGAAAAGGGATATTATCCTTCAATTGTCCCTGCAAGTCCTCATTTAAAGGAACAAAGGTTTCTCAATTTCAATATTTTTTTAAAAAAAATATCCTTATGGGCTTAGCAAAAACTGAAGCTGGAAGTACCTGATGTATGCTCAGAACAGAAGGATTTTTGAGGGTGGGGAGAGATTAGGGGACACAGGTGCCAGCCTTCTGTAGAATGTGCACTTCTGCTCCATTAATTGCTGATACCACCCCCCACTTCCATCTCCGACCCCTAGGGAGAACAGCAGAGCGGCAGGCCCAGACTGGTACCCAGCAGCAACACCAGCAGCAAAAGTAGACAATTAGGTGCCAGAAGCAAAGGGAGGGAGGGAAAGAGGGGGTAGAGGATGTAGTTGCTTAGCAACTAGGTGGCAGAAACAGCTGTGTAGCAGGCCTGGGCTGGTACCCAGGCACTGACAAGCTAGCCAATTAGCACACTGTATATAATGCTGATGTATCCTAGCAACAGAATACACAAGTCTGCCTGCCACACTCACTCTCTTCACATTCCTCCCCCACCAGCATTCAAACCATTACTCGTCCCCCTTTTGACTCAATGACTCCTATTTTTTTCCCAGGAGAGATCAGGAAACTTTTAAAAATCTGTACAGTATTTAGTTTCAATTCACTTAGCATTAAAAACGTCATATATATCACATGATAACAACCGCAAAATCCACTGAGGAGTATGAGAATACCACGATTTGAGTTCAATAAGATTTTCTTAGATTACAGGAAAATTGTTGCATTTCATTTGTGTATATAGAATTCTAACTGCTAGGCATAAAATAAAACATCAACATTTTGTGCATTTGCATCTAAAAAAAGATGCTATAATCCATTCTTGCACATCAAAACTAAAGCCATATTACTATTTCTCTGGATAACAAAACAACAACCCCTCCTAACTAACTAAATTGAAAGTATCAGCAGCATGGAAAACCTGGCTCTACAGTACGTTCTTAAAATAGAAGGTGATATTCATACTATCTTATCCATGCATTAGATTGGGCATGTCCATGCGGTAGCATAAGATCATCATCTTTTAACATTATTGTGTGATTTATATACGTTGTTTTATATATTTTATAGGTGGACCAAGACAATTCCTCTTCACTCAATGCAGCCCAGGCAAACCAAAATGTTGGACATGCATGGCATGCATTAGATCAGTGGTCCCCAACCTTTTTTGTACCAGGGACCGGTTTCACGCAGAAACACCTTTTCAAGGACCGGTTAGGGTTAGTTAGTTAGTTAGTTAGTTAGTTAGTTATTCATTCATTCATTCATTCATTCATTTATTTATTTATTTATTATTTATTTTATTATATGTTCCACTCATTGAAAAGCTAGTTATGACTTAATTTAATTATAATCAAAGTTGGATTGGATTTAATAATCATGGTTAATGCAGGCATGATATTCCCCTCTGAAAAAAAAAATCGGGGCTGGCCAAAAGAGACCCGCCACGCGCCAAGAAATCGCACACACAACACCAACGCTACACACCCTTCCTTTCCAGCTGGTCAGGTGTGGATCAGCTCTGGAGCTGGGCAGCCGCTTCCCTGGTGGCGGGGCCGTGGCCGCCGCCCAGGGAGCGCCCGCTGCTTTCCCTCGCCAGGGCCGGGCAGTGGCGTGTTGCCCTGCACCACGTGGCCCCCGCCTGGCAGCGTGCTTCTAGGCACGAGGCAGCCGGGTTGCCCAAGGAGCCCGGCTGGCCAGGCGAGGGGAAGGCAGCAAGGGCCCTGCTGGGCTGGGCTGGAAAACCCGCTTGGCAAGGGGCCAGGGAAGCCTGCGGGCGGAGGACCAAGTACGCTGGGAGGCAGAGATTCTGCCGAGGCCGTCAGATGGAGAGACGGCTGGTCTGTGGCTGCCAAGCTCCCATTTCCTGCCGCTCACCTGAGTGGCCTGTAGCCGCGTGTTGGTGTGGTGATTGAAGAGCTTCTCGTGAGCCTTGACCAGGTCGCCGGCTGCTTCCAAAGAGGGCAAGGGAGTTCATGCAGGCTGGGATCGAGGTAATCAGCAGCAGCATAGCCTCCCTTCACAGAACTTCTGGTGTAAGCCTGGCGAATCAGGAGCCTCCTTCTTAGGGAGAGCAGCTTCTCCACGGCTACCATGTTTCCCTTTTCTCTAGCCACGCACAGCGTGGAGCTGATGTTTTTGGTCGAGCGAGGCTGAGAGACTGCGTCAAAACCAGCGCTCGATCCAGCACGTTGGAACAAGATGGTGTCGAAGCAAAGTAGTCGGCCCGGTCCCAAATGACCCACGGACCGGTACCGGTCCACGGACTGGTGGTTGGGGACCCCTGCATTAGATGGTTCATCCTTGAGCCTTTTGATGGTAATGGTAATATTCTTAACACAGACTGCCACTTGCCACGGATTGATTTCAGTTGCATGAATGCTTTAAATCAAAATTCTTGTTTATTTGCCTGATATAATTATTCTTGGTGAGATTATGTTCCACCTTGTCTAACACTGTTTACTTCAACAGTGGTACAGTAGCATTCATATGACTGACACCAATGCATAACATTCCCACATGGTAAGAGGACAGATAATATGGTCTGGGCATTGAAACATATTTTACGTACTAGCACTGTTGCGTCCATTGGACTAACCCGCAGTCTTCACTCCGGTCCGCGCTTCTAGTGGGAATGCAGACCGCTCCTATTGGTTGATGCCATTTGACAGCCGGCTATAAAAGGAGCTGTCAAATGGCATCAGCTGTTGCCACCAGCTGACTGCCCTGTTAGCACGGCAGCCGCGGCAACCCTTTATTCTTGTAATAAAGTTACAGTTGATGTTCGCTCCGAGTCTGCCTCAGTGATTACTGCCGCTCCACAACACTGGCGACGAGGGCGGGGGAGCAAATAAGAGGCAGCCGTACAAAGAATCACTGAGCTCAGTCACTACAAAAAGAGCCGAAGTCACTAAGAGCTGACTGTCATAACTGTTGACACTATTCGCAAGTGCAAAATTCAGTTTCCCTGCGGAAGAGACGGCACCGCCGAAGCAAGATGACTTCGAACCCTGTGTTCCCACCTTTCAGATCGATGGCTGAGACATGGGAGTCCTACAGAAGCCAATTTGACTGCTTTCTAGATGCTATAGACCTTGCTGACGCTACAGCCCATAGGAAAAAGTCCTACTTTTAAAGTTTTTGCAGAGCCACAGTATTTGACACTGCCACGGCATTGGTAGTTCTGCGTTCTGTCAGGGCTGTTCCTTGGGAAGAATTGCAGGAAATTCTTTCCAATCACTATTCCCCTAAGCCATCCCAAATTGCCAGAAGACATGCTTTCAGGAGATGAATTCAAGCTGAGGGAGAAACCATTAGTGAATACATGGCTGCCCTATGGACAGCCGCTTTGCATTGTGGGTTTAGAAACTATCTTGAGGACATGCTATTAGACCAAATAGTCTGTGGAGTCAGGGATTTAAGGCTACAAAGGCATCTATTGGCTAAAGGAGACTTAACCCTGGCAGTAGCTATTGAAGAGTCCCAAGCTGCTGAACTATCTGCACTTTCAGCAGCAGAAATTCAGGGGAATCCAATTAGCCTGAGTAGCTCAGCCATCCATTACAATGAAGCACCTTTAGAAGAAGGCTCTGATGGGGCTAACGATGTAAATCGCCTCAGGCAGAAGAAACCCATTCAAGAGGAAATCAGGCCAAACCCCATTCTACCTCCCTGGTATCAGCCCATTTGCCTAAGCTGTGGAGGAAACCACCTCAGGACATCCTGCAAGTTCAGGAATGCCATTTGTCTGAAATGCCAAAGGAAGGGTCATTTAGCCAGGGTCTGTCAAGCAGGAAAGACTTTTGCCCAAAAGCCTCAGACGATCCCAATTTTTCAAAGGCAAGTTGAAGACTGTTATACCCGTTATCACGCCAACCAGACAAACAAAGGCCCTAACAAAATTAGTGTTTTTGTCTCCATAGAAGGTAAACCCTGCAGGATGGAAGTTGACACAGGCTCTGCACTATCCATCATCTCCTGGGGGACCCTAAAAAAGCTACTTCCCAGACTGACAAAGAAGAAGCTCCTCTACTGCCACCTGACCCTACGCGACTACCAAGGCAGAACCATCCCAGTCCTCAGAAAAGGCAAGTTTTTTATACAATTCAAAAATTTTAAAGGTTACTTGCCTTTAGTTATAGTGGATGGTGCCCTCCCTAGCCTATTGGGATTAGACTGGTTCCCTGCCCTTGGCCTCCACGTAACCGGCATCCACTCTATTTCAAATACTGAAGTGGATACCTTGTTCAAGGACTATGCTGATGTGTTCAGCGAGGGGCTGGGGTGTTACTCAGGAACCCCAATATCATTTAACTTGGACCCTTAGGCAGTACCAATCTGTTTAAAGCCTCGAAGGGTACCATTTGCAATCCATCCCAAATTGGACTTTGAGCTGGACAAATTAATCAAACAAGGGGTATTGGAGCCTGTGGACTTTGCAAAATGGGAGACCCCAATAGTTACACCCCTAAAGAAAGACGGTAGTGTGAGAATCTGCACTGATTACAAGACGTCATTGAACAGATATTTGCAAATCAGCGCCTATCCAGTCCCTGTTATCCAACATCTTCTACATTCTTTTGAACCAGGAACCATTTTCGCCAAATTAGACATGTCACAGGCCTATTAACAGTTTCCTGTAGATGACACAGCCGCAGAACTGCAGACTATAGTAATGCACGGGGCGCTTTCAAATGCAGGCGCCTCCAGTTTGGCGTAAGCCTTGCCCCTGGGATTTTCCAATCCTTAATGGAAAGACTTCTCCAAGGACTCCCAGGCGTAGTCCCCTACTTCGATGACATTTTAATATCAGCCATTGACAAGCCCCAATTACTGCAAAGAGTCAGAGCAGTCCTCGATCGTTTCAGACAGCATGGCCTCAAGTTAAAAAAAGACAAGTGCACTATTGACACTAAACAAGTAGAATTTTGGGGTTATAGAATTGATGCCTCTGGTATACACCCAATTGAGTCCAAAGTCAGGGCTATCCACGAGGCACCCATACCTACTAACAAGACTGAGCTCCAGGCCTTCTTAGGACTTCTTAACTTTTATGTTGCATTCCTGCCTCACAAAGCTTCCATTGCAGAGCCTCTACACAGACTTTTGGACAAACAATCCCCCTGGCACTGGGGACCTAAGGAAGCCAATGCCTTCCACGCTGTCAAATCATTACTTACTTCCAACGCAGTACTAATACAATTCAATCAACAGCTGCCTTTAGTTCTAGCTGCAGACGCTTCTCCTTTTGGCATAGGGGCTGTTTTAAGTCACAGACTGCCAGATGGTTCTGAGGCACCAATTGCTTTTTTCTCCAGGACCTTTTCCTCAGCCGAGCGCAATTACAGCCAAATTGACAAGGAGGCTTTGGCTGCAGTTGCTTCTGTCAAAAAATTCCATGAGTTCCTATATGGACACCATTTCGAATTGATCACGGATCACAAGCCTCTGTTAGGCCCTTTGTCTGGTGAAAAACAAACCTCTCAGATTTTGTCTCCAAGGATGACCAGGTGGACTTTATTTCTGGCTGCCTATTCCTATATGCTGGTTCATCGTCCTGGCAAAACCCTATGCCACGCTGATGCTCTCAGTCGCTGCCCTCTGCCTGTTCCTGTGGAAGATCCTGCACCAATTAATGCTATTTTCAAGATCAATGATCTCAATCTTCCCATCACTGCCTGTGACATCGCTGTCCACTCCTCACAGGACAAAGTAATCGCCCAAGTTCTGGACTGGGTGGGAAGGGGGTAGCCTGCAATTCCATTTGCCCCCGAATTCCTGCCCTTCAAGATTCGCCAGCAAGAACTATTGTCTTTGCAAGGCTGTTTACTGTGGGGAATGAGGGTAGTTATCCCTTCCAAGCTGCAGGGCTCAGTTTTAAAAGTCCTGCACGAAGGCCATCCTGGCATTGTCAGGATGAAGGCTCTGGCTCGCAGTTACGTATGGTGGCCAGGCATGGATGCTCAGATCACTAGTTGGGTTAACGCTTGTCAGCCATGCCAGGCTACAAGGCCTGCTCCACCCACATCTACTCCAGGCAGGTGGGAAGACTCTGGGGCCCCTTGGTCCCAGTTGCATATTGATCTAGCTGGCCCTGCTCATGGGCGAACATTCCTGGTAATGGTAGATTCCTTCTCAAAATGGATAGACCTGGCCTTATTGACCACCACAACTTCACAGGCTGTTACAAAGGCTCTAACTAGGGTATTCATTACCCATGGCCTCCCTGATACCATTGGGTCTGATAACGGCCCCCAGTTTACTTCCTGTGAGTTGAGGTTTTCTTAGCTAAACTTGGGATCAGGCATGCCCTCACAGCTCCTTTTCATCCTGCTAGTAATGGCATGGCTGAAAGGGCGGTCAGGTCAGTTAAGGAGGCCCTGGAAAGGTTTGGCCCAATAGACTGGCACTCTAAGCTTTCTAGGTACCTTTTAACCCAACATACAACCCCCTGTTCCACTACTAACAAGTCTCCAGCAGAGCTCCTCATGGGCAGACGCCTGAGAACCACCCTAGACAGACTCCATCCTCATTATGCCCCAGTCACCCCCCTGGGATCAGATAGCCAGGCAAGAGAGTTTGCTCAACATGACCAGGTCTATGCCCATAACTATGCAGGTCATCCCTTATGGGTGCCAGGGCAAATTGTGGCAGTAACAGGTCCTAAATCTTACAGGGTCTTGCTGCAAGACAGTCGCACCTGGCACAGGCACACTGACCAACTAAGAAGGCGCTGGAGCATGGCTACTGACAACCCTCGTTGCATGCCAAGCGAAACAGACCAGCCGACACACGCAGAGACTTCCCCGAGACATTACAAGCGAGTAAGCCTACCTGGACTACCGCTGGTTCCTCGCCCAGGGTTGCCCAAAGCCGAGACTCCAGTCCCTTCGGATCCTGAAACAGCCCAGCAAGCGGAGGACTTCTTTCCCGCAGCGGCTCCACCAGAACTGAGACGATCTGGCCATCTGCGCAGGTGCCCGGCCTACCTTAGAGACTACGCATGCTCTGTGCTAGGGCAAAGAAGTGTTGCGTCCATTGGACTAACCCGCAGTCTTCACTCCGGTCCGCGCTTCTAGCGGGAATGCGGAACACTCCTATTGGTTGATGCCGTTTGACAGCCGGCTATAAAAACAGCTGTCAAACAGCATCAGCTGTTGCTGCCAGCTGACTGCCCTGTTAGCACAACAGCCGCGGCAACCCTTTATTCTTGTAATAAAGTTACAGTTGATGTTCGCTCCAAGTCTGCCTCAGTGATTACCGCCGTTCCACAACAAGCACAAAACTATTTTTTAACATACAATCAAAACAATCGTACTTCATTATCACTTAGATACATTTTAAAGTGCAAAGATTTTTGTATCAATGCTTAGTTTTTTTAGCATTCAAAACAGCAACAACAGTTTACAGCTTTAATGGAAAATATGGGTTTCAGGGAATAATTCAGCACTAGATCGGATACACTGGAACTCTTACTTTGATACTATTGCAGTCAATTAGATTTTTTTCACCTCATTAATGCTGTTAGTAAGTAGAGTTGAGAAGAAATAAAATATACCTTCTTCTTTCATGAGGCAAAATGGCATTTTATTCTGTGTCAATAAAACTGAAAGAGAACTACTCTTAACATTAGAAAATGTGCTTCAGAAACATGCTTTTTATTTAGATAGTAAAAAGTCAAGTTAAAACTGTGGAATAGCTCTACATGTTATCACTTAATGCAATTCCCTTCCATTCACATCTTCAGTTGAAGAGCTTTAGAACATTATCTTGTTAGAGATCCTAAGCCTATTACTTTGTGAATTTCCACATATTTACTGGTATCACCCAAATTCTGTAGGATTTCCCACAGTTGCATGAGAGTCCTCACTGCTTTCTTCACTATCCTCCATCTTTCCTCTGAAATGACCAGTACTCCTTCCAGATGTTCTATTTCTATTAATAGAATAACAGAATAACCCCCACCCCTTAGGCAGGAAACCCTGTATCATTTCAGACAAATGGTTGTCCAATCTCTTCTTAAAAACCTCTAGCGTTGGAGCACCCACATCATCTGCAGGCAACCCGTTCCACTGATTAATTTTCTGCCAGAAAATTTATCTTAGTTATTATATCAGTCTCTTGAATTTCCTACTACAACTTGCTGATTCTGAATAAGAGAAGCCTACGCCCTAATCTGGATTTCTTTTCTATCAAATTCTGCAAGAAGAAATTTTGCACCTTACAAGTTTTTGCTTAATGATTACATTAAGATTGGAGCCAAATTAATGCTTCCACAGAAAAGTCAGATTTAATTTCTAATATATATTTTTTTCTTTAAAGCATCTGCTTCCAATCTTGGATAATGATTAATATATACACTTCCTCCTCCCGTTGTACAATCTAAATTAATTCTCCTTCTGTCACTTAACTCATTGGTATTTGCTGAGATAGGTCTGGAAAAAAAAATCCCGTTTCCCTTTCCAGAAGTGAAAGTGTCATCCCTTCAGAAATATTTGCCATACAAATGTGTTAAGGCTGAGTTTATTTTCTCACATCATTAAGTATATATTTTACAATAGATTCTTCACATAACTTATGAAATAGGTAATCTTTCTCCCAACTGCACATCTCACCTTTTCCTAGTGCTCTCTTTCACACATATCTTTCCACAAACCAAGTGACTTCTCCATTTTACTTTAGGCCAAAACCTGACTATCTTTTTACACATTTGTTTTTAGCAGTAGGACTTTGGTGTAACATCAATTAGCACCAGTTCTTTAAAAATATTTCAGCTTATGGGGAAGAAAACAAGCTTCTTGTTATTTCTGATTTAAATTCCTTTCTGTACCAAGGGGTTCATTCTGCCAGACAACCTTCAGTTTTTTATATGACAAAAATCACATTAATCATAGAAAGCTATTGGAATACATCTACAAAGAAGTGCACTAAATGAGTTTCAGAGAGGAGTCTTCCTCAACTATAAATGGAGATGTGTTCTGGGTTAAGGCTGCCATTTTCTACATGCAAAACATGTACTCTTCAGCATGCATGTCTCTTTCTCCCAAATAGTCTATGCATCCTTTTACTTCATTCCAAAGGTTCCCAAATCATTGTGTCTTCTTTTAATTTTGCCTATGAAGTTCTGTGGCTTTTCCCCTGAGATTTTCCCACAGACTTTTTCTAGCACTTTTCCCACAGATTGCTGTGCAGGGAAATATAAGTGTTGGCAAAACAGGACTAGTTCTGGTATTACTAGTGCTCAACCGATGCTTTTGTCAAATCTAATTGAGTTTTGCTATCTTGTTATCTCACATTTGAATTACTGCATCTAGCTCTTCATTTGCTACAAGCTACAAGCAGCTAATAGGAAAAACTAAATATCAAAAACTTTTTAGAGCTTCAGCTCAGCAGTCAAGAGAGCCAAATGGCTGGTAGCCATTGGCACTGTGAAGCTTGTTCACAATTGATGGTGTCTTACAGGGACAGTTCCAAGAAACTAAGCCTGTGTTCAAAGACAAAGGATCCAACAAAATGACTGCTTCATTCCTATAATCTTGGCCCTGGGATTCTTACAATACACACCAAAATTTCCAAATCCCACCCCTTTAGTATTTTTCCTTTTGGGGTTTTGGAACCATTTCAAATGTCTGCTTGCATAAATAAAGTGACATTGTTGTTTAGAGAGATAAGGCAGCATGAACTGAAAGAAGCGAGCTATGTAAACATAAGTGCAGCTGTTTGGGGTAATAATCTGAATCCACCCAACTCAGTATCTAGTCTCCAACAGTGATCAGGTTTAACTGCAAAAGGAAATAATAGCTCATTTGGAGACACCAAGTATATCCTAATGGTAGCATAATTTTATGTGAAAAGACTCAATGAGTTTCCTTTTAGAACTATTTCTGGTTCCAAATGTTGGTCACAAGATCCTAGCAAAAAGCAAAGTAGATATTTATGCCCAGTATTCTATTGATCATTGATAGTCTAGATTTGATCTGAACTAGATTTCAATTAGAGAGTCAATATTGACACCAAATTGAAACATTTTAAGATTCCTCATATTTCAATCAATTTTTAGAGCAATTCAGTCCAAAGATACCCCAATTATAGAACTGCATCACATGAAAGTATTGGTTAGGGATGAATCTTCCCTTGAAATCCATTACGAATAAATGTAAGAAATAAATGTATTTAATTTATTAATATCCACCTGATACAAGTAACCATTTTTAAAAAGACAAACAAAATATTCACAGGATAATTATTGAATAAGAAATCTTAAAAAGTTGTGAAATTTGGGCAATTTAAACATTTTTTTACAATTCTAAGGTTTGTTAGGCTTAATTGGTGACTCCTATGTTACACTATATATATTCAGTAATCCTTCCAATTATCTTTGAAATAAATCACTTTCCAACTGTTTAGCCAAACAAAAATAAGAAACCATGACTTCAACTTTTGCAAACTACAGTATAATTTGATGTCTAAACTGACATGTCATATTTTTGTTTTTGATATTGTTCTGATTAAGTTGTTTGTTGTTACTATTTGGTTTCGTTCTATTTGATATTGTATGCCGCCAAGTGTCTTTGTAGATTGGGTTTAAGTATTGCAAAACACATTCATTCATCCACTTACCTGCAAGAAAGATAATTTTGAATTTAAGATAATACCCTTCTTCTCAGAGGAAGAGTAGATGGGGGAATCACAAAAACTGCCCCACCACCCCAAAAATGTGTCCATGTGATGTATGTGCATACGTGTATGCTTTTGTGCAAAAAAGATTGGACACAAATAAGTATATTCACTGAATAATCAGAAATGGAAAAAGAGTAGAAAAGGAAAGATGAGAAAACAAAACTGAGTAGAAAAGAGGCAACTTGAGAGGTAAGGAAAATAGAGAAAGAGAAGGCCAATCAAAAGTTCATAACCCTAAAGTTTACCAATCCCGGCCCCAAACAATCTTCTCTTAAATAGGCTATAACCCCTATAACCAGTTTTAGTTCCATCTATTTTTAAAATGAATTCTTCTGTGACAGTTTCCTAAGCACACCCTGCCAATTCATAATTTTTGAGTAAAGAAATATGATGGCAAAATTGAGAAACTGACTCAGCAGTTTTAATGGAAACAAAAAATAGCATAGCATTCAGGAAGCCATATCATCCTATCAAGAAGCTTAAAAAAAAGAAGAGACTACATAGCCCATGCTCCATTAGGCCATTGTTTCAGAGGTATTTTGTTCCTAGAATACTGAAAATGAAGATCACATAACTGTAATAGCAGCCCAGCAGTACCCAGTAGCACTGAAGAAGCCATAACTTCCCCAAATTTCATTCCCTCAGGAGTCATGCTCCTGGATTTTGAATATATTTTGTAAGTTAGCCCATTTGAGATACCTCTATTCTAAAACTGTTGCTCTGTGATGTAATGTTTCATCCAGTTATAAGTCATAAGAGTTTTGGTATAGGTATTAGCTAATTACAAGACGATAATTTTTCAGAGAAGTATTTAACTGCCTAGTTCTATATATCCAATCAAAGTAAGAGCATCCAATTCAGATTGTAAATGAGGGAATGGTTAATTGACTTTGGTTCACTGATGTTAACCAGAATTAATTAAACTTTGTTCTTTCAAAATACAGAACTATCACCATGTTAAACATATAGAAAGATTCCAAATTTCTAGATATATCTATATAGGAAGGTATTTCAAACAAGCAGCCCCTTTTGTGCTTACCAAGGATTTCTTGAGGATTTTACATGTTTGATGTGGACATTATAAATTGGTTCAAATGTGATACACATATAATATAAAGGGAATACAGTGGAAAGAACTCTCGGTTTTGACTAGAATACCTAGTTTCAAAAATCTGTTCAGCTGAGGTAACTTTAATCGAAACATTCTTTCTCTGTGATATATGAAAATAGCAAGGACAGTGATTTATCCTACAAAGCTGTCTCTAAATAAAACTGATTGAAGTTGAATATGTTTCACACATATTCATTACATTTATTTATTTATTTAGATTTGTTATGGCCACCCACTCAAGTAGACTGTCAGTGGAATAAAATGAAACTGACAGCCTAGAATAAAAACAGCCCTAACAATAACAATAAAATGGGACAGGGCTCCCACAAACATATTAACTCTAGGGCTGGGAACACAGCCAGGATTTAAAATGGCCTTCCAGAACCCTAGGAGTATAAGCATTTGGGAACTGTTGAAGAGGGCAGGAGCTGCAATGGACAATGGACCATCATCCTTCATTGATCAGATCTCTAGCAGCATTAATTCTTGGTCCCACAAGATGATATTCAATTGAGGGAATTAGGTGGCAGAAAAAAATCGAAATAGGCCAATGGTGGGTTTCAAAATTTTTTCCTACCAGTTTGGTGTGAGTGTGTGCTTTGCACACATGCACACCGTTTGCAACTCACCTTCTGCTGCAAGCTCTGTGTGTAAAACAGCTGACATGCGGCAATCAGCTGTGCCACGTAAAGCAGCTGAGGTTGAAAAGCAGGAAATAAAGGTCAGTATAGAGCCGGGGCAGGTGGGAAGGCCTAGCAGCTGATTGTCAGAGTGAACCGGTTCGCTCACAGATGATCCTCGGAGCTACTGGTTTGGCTGAACTGGGCCAAACTGGTAGAATACCGCCACTGAAATAGGCTGACCCTAAGATAATCGGGTGCTAAGTCATGATCAGTAATAATCAGTAATAGTAAAATCAGTAATAGTTATGTAAAATTAACAGCAATAGTTTACCTTTTAGTATGAGTATAAATATGGGTGAGGGAATTTTTTTTGCACAACTAGGGAGAACTGAAATGCTTATGTACTAAAATTATGACCCATTTCAAGGCCCTAAGCAGACTCTCATGAATATGGCTTGATCTACAGTGAACCATAATTCTTTGAACAGGTTGGCTGGATAGCAATCAACAAAACTAATAAAAATCTGGTCTTCATTTCTAAATATAATCGTATTCCACAAAATAACCTATAGAATTATAAAGCAGTTGTGACATAAAGACCATCATCCTTCATTGATAAGATCTCTAGCAGTATTAATCTTAACATGTATAAAAGGAGATAATTATACTAGAGGTGTCTTCTATGCCCAAGGAATGTAATTTAGCTTCCTCAAATAGCCAAACACAATCCCCCTAATGAATATTTTCCATGTCAAGTATTATTACTATTATTATTAAATTTATTTGCTTCCTATCTTATTATGGGGCTATTCTAAGCAGCTCATAACCATAAAAAATGCAGAAATAAAAAGGAAGTTTAAACAAAGTAAAATAATAGAACAATAAAAACAAAGTATGCTGTATGATTATTTGTATTCTCAGTAATCTGGGAAATTCTAAGAAAATGTTATTAATAAAGGAATTATAGAGCCATATGATTAGCATTTTCATTCTGCAAATTCTCAAACTCCTTGACATAATGTGGAACACAATGTTTCAACCCAACTTTTTATATCAAGCCTCTTACCCTCTAAAGCTTCATTTCTGCACAAGACAAATAATAAATAAAAGGCATAAGTTTGGGTAAAGACAACCAAGCATCTAACACAAGTACCTGTGTGAGTCCTCTGGTGCGCTTTTAAGTGTGAGCTCTTTGTATATACTTTACGGCACCCATTAAACTGACAACGATGAACCCTCTTCTTGTTTTCCGAAGATGTATCAGCCCCTGGCCCTCCTTGTTCACTGTCACTGAGCGCGCACTTTGTTGTGTTAGCTGGTGCTATTACACCAAGCTTTACTGAACTTAGGGTGGATTTCTTTGTCACTAATTTCAGTGTAACTGTGCCATCAACTGCAGATATGGTTTGTGAAGTTTTTCCAAGATGGCGACTGAGTTCAGGAGAGGAAGGAGGTGTTAGTGAGGTCACTGCGTTGAGTTGGGCCTGGTTAACAGCAGCATAGCCCTCTATAGAGGAGCTGGTAGGTTGCAGGCTGAGACAAGTCTCAGACAATAATTTGTCCCTTGAGAGAATAATGTCCATATTGGCATTTTTGTCACAGGTATTCA